CTGCCGGTGCCCGTCCTCCAGGAAGGGTGACGCGTCCGCGGCCTGCGGGGGGCCCCGGACCGCTCCCGGAGCCGGACGAAGCCGCTTCTGCAGGACTGAGACCGCTGCCATTTAAGGCTGGTGCAGAAGCGGCTGCCCTGCCTTGCCCCCTCCTTGTACTGGTCCAATCTCGGACTAATCTAGTGTCTGCTTTTAGCCGGGTCCCAGTGTGCGGGGTCACTCTGGGTAAAAGCAGGCCCGGGACTTCCCTCAGGACAAGGTCTCTTTCCTGGGACTCTACAGACAGAGGAGCCCGTTGCCCTATTCAAGTACATTTGGAGTATCCAAGATGATGCTTTGTTTGGGAGAGCCACAGCAAATTTGAGTTACTTCCAGGGACCAGGTGCATGTCTGTGGTTGTCAGGCTTTACCTCAGCCAGAACCAGTTCAGATCCAACATCTGTTTCTAGCTTTTGAGCAACAGGTGACTCCAATCCTGGGCTCATGTTAAGAGCTCCAGGTAAAACATGCAGGGATGATATTTCCAAACTCGATCTCTGGGTATTTCAGGTGTCACTGACTTCTCCTGTGTTGTAAGAACCCAGCCGAGTGCATAGTTTCATCATCAGAAATCAGGATCCCCGAGTAAGAGTTTTAGTGGGTGACTGCTCATAATGCACAGGCTCATGGCGTGAGTCTGGCTTGCTCTTCTGTAGTTATGGTAGCTCTGTCAGTGCCAACAGGTCAGCAGACCTGGCTTTAGTACAAGGAGCTGAAAGGATGTGAAAGATCATTTAAGAGAGACTTTTGTATATCAAGAATTTTCATTCCAGTGTTGTATGCTGTTAGTCATTGTACCATCTAAGTACTAACATTTATTTAACCTCTGGATTTTGTCATGGACAAGATGTGAAGGACAAGAGTGCGGGAGGATGCTAAAATGTAGGTATTTTATAGCTAATGAGATCAATTATATTTACTGGACAAAATTTAAAAAGTATTATGGGTAATGAATAGTCATGCTTCAGATCACAAGAAAGCAATTAAGTAGCACAAGCAAAGAAGCAATTTAGGGTTAGGTTAATCCAAAAATGTTGGTGCATCATCTGAAGGATCTGGTACTGGATACTAGACTTCAGACTACTGGCCCAAGCCATTATGGACTTTTCTATAGTCTTCAAGTTTTACATGTCACTTTTCATGCTAGAACTGTACTTTAATAGAGCCATGCTAGAAGGAAAATCACTTCCCATATAATACCTGAGTATTCAGATATTTCAACTTTGTTTATCGTTCACTGTGCATTTATGCAAATTGACTCTCTCGCTTTTTGTTTCTTGCACATTGATGCACAACTGTCTGCATTGTAAGCACTGGAGGGAATTGTATTGTACTATTTTGTTTGCATGATACCAAGCACATTTCTTTCAAAGTATTTGTTTTAATAAATTCCTCTGTCCCATTGTACTTTTCCTGGTTTTCAGAAAATTATGTTCTGTTTATCATGCCTGAAGGATGTGAGAGTATGTAGTCTGGAAGAGAGTATCTTGGTTGTATGTTCTGGTTTTCAGAGCTTCTAGTTTCTAGATTGCACATTCTGGAAGGGCAAGGTAAGAAGAGGTGTTTCTGAGGCTGTGTCCACAAGAGTGGGGTGTTTTTTTTTGGTTTTTTTTTTTAGGTGCAGCATCCCCTATGCTGCCAAAGCAGTCCTAGCATTTATGCAGTTGTATCGTGCAAAGGTGTACTGTTGCCCATATGGTAGATTCTGTGTGCTCTTCCACTTTGCAGGTGAAAAGCTGTGTTTTCAGAAGCATAATTTGGCTGGCTTAACTCTGTCTACAGGAGCTTCTGTTGGTTCAGCTGTGTCTGTCAGGATCATGTGTCTGACCAGCACAGCAGCACTGCAAAATTCTGTAGCATGGATGTGGTCACGGCAAACATAGATCCTCTTTGGCAAACTTATTTTGTTCATTTGCTAGTAATCTTTAGCTTTTAGTTCAGCCTCATTCTTTAGGATGGGCTGGGGGAGGACTTCGATTTCAATCTACTCATCTGTTCTTGAATCATTTTTGATGCACATCCTTAAGAGCTTTTACTTTCTAGAGGTCTCCAGTTAATTTGCTGATGGTGTTTAATGTGAAGAAATTAAAATGCACAACTGTCCCACTTCACACAAAGGGACATTGATTTAAGTACAGATAACAACTACACATTTTATACCCACTGCTTTATCTGGGTCACTCAGGCTGATGAATTTAACAGCAATCAAGTAGAGCTTGGTATTACATTTCAACAATTTGGTACAAGAATTTGCATTCCTACTTCCTAAATTTTGTATGCATAGTAAGGAATTAGTAGTTTGTCCAATTTAAGAGTTCTTAAGAGTATTAGAAATTATTTATGTGGAAACTCTTCTCCAAGTGAATCATACTTTGTTAAATAGTCTGGAGACTGAAATTATTCTGTTTCAGTACAACTCAATAAGATTTGCCAGCCTGCAATCTTTAATTCTTACTGTGCACCAAAGAAAAGAACAGAACAAGGCCCTTTCCATTATATTCACCACTTTAGTTACTTTTAAATCCCGTCTCTTGGCTTACTGATAGTACTAACAGCTAATGGTGACAGTGGATCTCATAAGAGATTAATCTGGATTGTAAAGCACATTCCATCCTTATGCAGTTGTTCCCAAGACAGAGGAAGGTAAAAATGTATAGGAATTGAAATGTTCTTTTTGTTCACGTGTTATGATCGTGATGTGCAGGTGCAAGCCTATCCTGCTTTCTACTTGGTTTCAGACTAGCACAGCTAACTACATCTCTTGAGATCTCTGTGCAGATTCAAGATGGGTGTATATTTGTATATGTACAAATGACCCTTCATATTGAATGCCATTTGTCCGTCTTAGATTACTTTCTTATCTCCACCTTTCTGTCTGTCCCAAAAAATAAAAAGGATAGCATCGTATTCTTGCCACTGTTATCTGTAGTGTGATCCAGTCAAAAGATATCTATGAGGGAACTGTGACTAAGTCCCACTTCCCTGTTTGCCATATCATCCAGAGACCAATATCTAGTTTCTTATTTTATTTTTCTACCTATAAGTTAACTCCAGGTTTTCTGTTTCATTTTTACAAGAAAAAAAGTTTAGGGTGGTGTGGTGGTATCTATTTTGGGAGACCAAAAAGCAATCTGTTTAATATCAGATAAAGACCTTGAACTGATGTCGTCCTTAGTTATCTGATTCATGTGTGGGATTGTATAAGGAAAAGGCACAAAGGGTTAAATTTAACTAAAAATACTAAATTAAAACTGGGCTGAAAAGAATTCTGACTTGCAGTATTTTTGTGCGTGTAATGATAATACTAACTCCTAAAGTCAAGGCTATTGGAGGCTCCATTATAGGTCTATCATTCTATAAGTCCAGTGTGTGTGTGTGTGTGTTTCTTTTGGGTAGAACAATAGGCATATTTATATTTAGAACAATACAATGCTTTATCTAAATTGGAACAGGAGACTCCAAAGATTTTGTTTTAAAACACACACATCTTTTTTGCATCTCATGTAGGCTTAGTGGTTCACAGGATAGGTATTTGGACACTGCACAAATGGAATGCTCAAACCTGATGAGGCAACATTGTATAGTAGCTGGTGTTTGGAGACAGAGAGTTTTTGGGTCCTGGAAATTATTTCTGCCTCTGCTCTTAACTTTCAGAGTCACCTTCAACAAATCGTGGTAGCTTTTGTGGCTCCGTTTGCATAAAACTTATGATGATGCTCTTTTCTCTTTCAAGGGTTTAACTTAAACCAACAATTTAACATTCGCAAAGGAGAATTAGCTGCAGATTATTGTAGGTGTACAGTATTTAATTCTGGTCCTTGATGTTTAGTTTTTGCTGGTACTAATACTTGGAAAGCACGGTGCACAAGCAGTTCGATATTTGTTTTGCAAAGACATGTACATTGATGTCACTGTGTAAGTAATTGCCTATGAAAACAACATTAAAAGAACATTAAGGTTGTTAAATCAAGTACTTAGCAGTCAGCAACTGCCTGAATTAAGATTGCACATGTAACCTTGAATATCTTAAATGTGTCCCTTCCCCCTTTGTGTGTGAATTATAGTATGCAGTCATATAATTAACTGCACTATATATTTTTTCCTTGAACAACCTGTTTTATGTGCACAAGTTGCTCATGAAACGAGCAGCTTATTCAATTTTTCATTTTATTCCTATTGTTATGAGATTGGTGGCACACCAACTGCATGCAGTTCAACCCAGTTCTCAATAAAAAAATAACTTCCTTACAGGTTTTTGTATGGCATTCACCACTAAGTATGAGTGCTTAGTAAATATTTAATCGCACCTTCTAGGAAGAATGTCATGTTGCCTAACATTTTACAGATGGGAACCTGAAGCTCAGATATCAAGTGTGCAGAAATGTTCAGTGCCCAATTTGGGATGTGTGTGGTCATCCCCCTTGCTCTACCCACCCCACTCCCAGCTGTCATAGAGAAATTTTGTAGCATTGTATTTTTCCAAACAGCTTTCAGTTATATACTGCTGAAGCATCACATACACACATCAGTGAAAATTGGATCCTGGCTGTCTCTCAAATTTGTTACCAGAAAAGAAGAAACACAATGGTCATTTGTGAAAAGATGTGAGAATCCTGGGTGGCAGAGATTAATTCTAGTTCTCCATGGTGATATTCCACTACCAAAACCACACTATCATCCTTTCTTTTCCTGCTATCCCCTGTCTCATTTATATAAACAAAGCCTAAAGATCTCCATCACTATACAAACCTCATTCCTTCCCTCAACATTCTCCTGTGCCTGAAAGAGACAACAGATCCTATGGAAAAAATGTATGATTTGGAATTTAACTGTACTTTCCTAGGACCAATTTAAAGATGGACAGGCAGCTCCTAATAGAGCTTCCTAATTTTTGTATGGTCGACTTTACAGCCTACACATTCTTCTTGCATCATTTCTTTTTGTATGTAATTTTCTAGTTATTTGCCAGTTCACTTTTCAAGAAAACTTAGAAAAGTCATCATATGGAACTATGTTAGTCTCCATGAATATGGTTCTGCCACTTAGGCTGATGACAGTAGTTGTAAACATTTATGTGGGCCAGTTGCTAGAGTTAAGGAACATGCTGTGTTAGTGACTTTCACAGCTTTTTGCTGACAATGCAGAAGTGTGGGTTCTCTAGTGGCTTCAGACCCATATTCCTCTACCCATCTTCTCTCCAGCCTGTCTGTAATCCTGTTCCACATTCCAGTCCATCACTTAAGGCTCAGACAAAAAAGCAGCTCCCAGTTTTAACTCATGGCGCTTTGCAGGAAGTGCCATAAGTTACAGTGATCCCTGGACCCAACAGACATTCACTTGTTGGGTCCCCAGGGGTTGGATATCGAGCTTCTGTTTAGAGTGGCAGTGAGCCTGCAGCCTCTCTCCCCTAGCAATGCCCTTCCTTCCTCCCAACCCTGGTGCTGTTTTCGGGGGGGGGGGAGTGAATGGAGGGAGCTTGTTCTGGGGGTTTCCCAGTCAGTGCTAGAGGTTAGGGCAGATGAATTGGAGCACCCCCACCTCTTGGGTAGACTCCACTCCACTCCACCCATCCCACCTTCCAGCACCAGCTGAAAAAACCCCAGACCAAACTCCCTCCACTGCTACCCCTCTCCTTCCCCCCTCCAACACACATTTTTAAGACAGTGGCAGGAGCATTGTTGAGCTGCATCACCCCTGCCATGCTCCCAGCATGCGCAGGCACAAGTTACTGAAAGCATTTCCTTTTGGAGCGTCTTCATCGGAACCCTCATGCAATGAGGGGTCGGATTTGTTGTGGGATTGGGTCCTTTTAAAGCTTATTGCAGCCATACACTTGTGTTCGGTCATGGCTGTAGAGCACTTATCAGGGTCTAAATTGGATGAAAATTGTCACTTTTATTTGTGCCTTTAAGAATGCCCCCCCACATTCCTGTCTGTCAGGTGGTCTCTTCCACTGTCTTTCAAGCAATAAGAGATGACAGGTTCCTGCTCTGTGTTCTTGTCATTGCTATCTTGGTGGTTGCTGACTGATGAGAGTAACAGGGAAGGAGCTGCTCAGCTGTATACATAGACTGGAGCATGCTTGGTATTGATGTTCTCTGCAGAGAATCCAGTTGTTGAAACCTAATGAGCATGTGAACCCAGATTCTGTGGGGTGATAACCTGGCTCAATTTTAGTGAATTTTACAGGAAAGATGAGAAGCGTGACAACAGGGCAGCTTCCCACATTTCAAGTTTGTGCTCCATGCAGGAACCGGAGACTCTCAGTAAAATGATTGTATGAATTATTGCATGGGGATACAACATCCTTTTTTTCCCTCAGTGTATTCTAAGTTAACAGCTGAACTGTTTAACTGCAGTTTAAAAAAATCAGCCTGAGATGCACTTGACATGGAAAACTTCAACCCAAACAGTTAATGTTGGGTGAAGTGGTAAGCAGCTAAAAACTGAGTCTTCAGTGTAGCCATCTGTAGTAGCATCACCTTTAATTAAATATTTGTTGATCTAATGGGTTGCCTATTCTTCATGCTGTTCTGGATTACAAAAGTATCTTTAGAGGAGTTTACAGGGGACAAATTTTGTTCTTAGTAAAGAACTGTCAATATTGTATTTATTCGGGTCTAAGAAGACACTGAATTTAAGATGACCCCCCCATAATTAGATTGTATACATGGAAAACTTATACACTTGTACAATTTTTTCCATTTATAGAATTGAATTATTTGAGGGTCATCTTTTTAATTCATTCCCCCCTACACACACTGTTGCAGGGGGGCAGGCAGTTTGCCCCATGCTTGTGCCTATCCCCCTAACACCTCTGCCTCTGCTTCCCCCTGCCCTCCTCTCCCCTTCCCCAGCCTCTGTTTCCTCCCTCCCACTCTTATGCATGCTCTGTACCAGCAGGCTTCACCTCCATTCTAGCATGAGACACAGAGCACAGCCCCAGCCCCATAGCAGCTGTGTGGGCTGTGCACCACTCGTACAGGACTGGGCTGGGGCCATACTCAGCTTCTGTTCCCTCACCTGCCCCTCTCCGCACCTTACCTTCAGTCCACGCCAGCAGTTTTCCAACCATACTGCAGCCTGGGGCACTATGTGGAGGGGGGGAGATGATGGGGTACAGAGGTTATGTGGGTTGGAAGGCCAGGCAGCAGCTGTGGCTATGGCTCCAATTCTGGGTAGGGGCTGGAGTCACAGCAGCTGCCTGCCCCATCCACACTGCACTCGTGCTCAGTTCTGAGATGAGAGGCTTTTCCTTCCATGTTAAATGGGTGGGGGGAACCTAGTCTTAGAATCAAATAACTATGGTAATTTAGATTTGCAATGGCAAAATGATAAATCTAGAGTTAGGTGGTAAATAACATCTGCTGACAGAACATCAAGGGCTTGTCCTATTGTCCAGTGTTCCTCTTACTGCAAAGATAGGCCGCCCCTCTTCTTACTGCAAAGTACATCTTGCATTGGTAGAATTAGCTGCTTCAAGTTCAGAGAAAATTGTATTTTGTTGTTGTTTTCCAGAGTCCTGTCAATGGAAAAAGTGTTGACAACTGCTTCCATCATTGTGGAAACATGGAAAGAAAATATCCGTCCAGAGAGAGCTCCAGAAAGCTACTGGGTAAAATGATGGAGATGAAGAAATTAAGCCATCATTTCAATATGGCAGCAGCTGAATCTGACAAGGACTCTGGATTCTCAGGTTTAGAAAAAGATCAAATTAATTTTCCTTGTGAAATCTGAACAAGATAACACAGTGTTCTTTACAGACCTTTCTGTGTCTAGTCCCATGTCTGTCTGAAAGAAGGTTTTTCTGTATAGGGCATCTTTAAAAAAAAAACAACCCATCCAACTGGAACCAAGATCTTCCGAGCAGCTATTTATGTTTATATAACTCCTTTGTCAGTTCCAGTGGTATTGGAGTTTGACTCATTTCTTTAATGGGCATAGTTTCAATCTTTGCCAGAGCCCAGAATGAGGGGATGGGGGAGACTGTCTCTTCATCATTACAGTGATTAATGAACTTTTGTTACAGTGCTAAGTGTTCCTTAGGATGTGATTTTTGAAGTCAGAACAGCCTGTGAAACTCATATATTTTATGAGCCTTATAAAATGTAACAGATATTTCCAACAAAACTCTGCAGTGATCCTTCCCTTAATTTACAAGAAAAATCATGTACTGGAGACCTAAGACCACAAGGTACAAGAGAGCCACAGCACAGCCTGTGGCAGGGAAAGGTTTTGTTAACATTGCTCCATCCAAATATACTTCATTACCACAAATGGTTAGAAAGATGGTACAGTCCCTGGCCTCTGTGACTGCAAGGATGCCAGTAATAATGGGATTTTTATGTAGACTCTTCTTTGCTAAGAATTAGTGTGAGAACTGCTAGCTTGTCTAACAGAGACCACTTAGCAGCCCCCAAGAGTAAAGTCTATTTTAGGTGGAGTTCAAAAACAGGTTAGCAATATTCTTTACAGCCTGGTTGAGCAGAGTGGAGCAGTGAAAATGAAGGCAGGTTAGCAAGTGTACTGCATATACAACAGCTAATAACTGGACTTTGCTCCTATCAGATGGGAGTTCTGAGTGCCTGGGCTCCATGGAGCAAACTGACTCGGAGGATAGGCTGAACACGTTTTGCTGGAATTCAGAGGATGGGCCCTGGCAGTGCCCTGTGACCACAAGCAATTCCTTCCCTGCACTTTCTCCTATGGTTGTAATGAAAAATGTGCTGGTCAAACAGGTAAGAAGGAAATAGTTTGTGGGAAGGATAAGTAAACATCTTTTTGAAAGGGAAATCATTATCATCATTATTGAATGCTACTGGTTTAACTTGTTGTTACACTCACGAGATCTTGGTATTAATACTGCCATCTCCCAATAATTGAAGATCAGCTCATGAGTTCAGCCCTTTATGTGGCAGGCTAGAATCACCAAGATACAGAACAAATATTTGATGTGCCAGCTCTCATACATCTGTCAAATTTCCTTCTTTAAAAGGGATCTTGATAAGTCATACTGAGAGAGAAATTCTGCAAATTGATTATATAGCTCAAAAATCTAATTTACTTCTTTACTGATACTGTTAATTTACTTTTCTCTATCACTCACCTTAAAGAATGAAATTAAGGTTATTAGTTTCATTTGCTCATTCTCAAGCGGTAGCAGTGCTTTGGATTGTGGTTTCCAGTGCTGCAAATGAATGTTAAAAAATGTTTATTTCAAAATAAATTAGACACCAGAATGTATCCTTCTGTATTTGTGGTTTATTTTTTGTTCAAGCTTTTTCTGTTTTAACAAATCTTAAGTATGTTTATGTTCAAGCTGAGAGAACCCTAATTAAATTAAATAGTTGCTAAATAAAAGTTCACTTAAGAGTTCAACTTGCAGCCACTGCATGGATTCTCTTCTTTGTTGTGTGTGTCATTCTACCAGCCATTGTGGATTTTTGAAGTCAAGGCAATTCAATTGATGTACAAGTGGAATAGGCGATTTATTTTTCTAAGAAAGATATATGTTTTGGTTTATTAAAACACATGGATTAGATACTTTATGTTCAATGTGATGCATCTTATTGCTATCTATGAAGGTACACCATAATTTTATACATTTATTTAAGCAATAATATGATTTACTGTTTTCAGGTACTTATGAATTGTACAGCTTCAGAAAATAGTAAATTGTATAGCATTTGTTAACCAGGCAGTTGACTTCTTGCTCATGATTTGTCAAGGAGTTGCATTAAAACAGGCTTTTAAGATCATTCAGGTGGGCTCAATGGGTGATTCTGATGAGACGTGGTAATGTTTTCTAAAATCAGAGGCTGGGTCTCAGCACCTGTTATGACTTTGCCAGTCTTTCTCATTTGTCTTTGCAGCATCAGATTCTTCATACAATGTATGATTTAGTGCATCACTTTTGGAAGACTTCACCTAAAAAAAGTCATGTTTTTCTCCATGATTTTTTTTTCATATATAGACAAGCAGACAGCCTGTATTGCCAAGGTTTTGATAAAGACTTGTGGTCCCGCGCTTTTTTTTTTTATAAACAGATATTTTAAGTTATCATTTTAGGCCTTAATGCTTTTTGTATTACATCCTGATTTCATTTTAAACAAGTTTACTTGTAGAAAGGAGAATTTTGAATTAAATATCAGAATAAGAAATCTGATTAAAATGGGAATCACATGCTTCTATCAACCCTGCCATGAGTATGTTTGTAAGACACTTGTGAAACATGTACATCCCAGCAAAAGATGTGGGAGATGCCTACATCTGGTATTCCTTTATTTCTAATTCTGTCTGTCTCATCTTTTGAGGAGGTATGAAGAAATGTTATCCCTACATCTGAGCAAAAAAAGTCCTGTAAAATCATTGGGGAAAATGGCTGTGGGTCCTGACCTTTGAGATTTGACATGACCGCAAGCAAATCTGGTTAAACATGAATATTATTAGTACCAATGCCCAGAGGGACAACGAGCTTCTGTAACTGCCAAAATGAAATCTGCAGGGTATGCATTTGTAGGGAAGTCAGTTCTTGGATCTCCCAGATATGATTTCTTAGTCTGACAAAACATTGTGATTCAATCTAGAGGCAAGTCCTTGGAAATGTAGACAAACTGCTTTAAGTAGCTGCATAAAGCTCCATTCTAGTAGATGATAGACAAGCTTCGTCTGCTGGTGGGCTGCAGGTCAGAACTGGAAAATAGCATATTGGCTCCTGTGCTATTCTAATAATAAACTTTATAGAGGATATTGCAAACACTTTACAGAATTTGTTGAACCAGAATCTGTTTCATTGAGCCAAGGACTGTAGTGTCTGAACCTAATTATGTATGAATGAAAGAGAGCCTTGTTAAAATGAAGGATTATACTGCAACAAACAAAAGCAAGTGGCATAGGTCAGAGGAATCATGAGATGCATTTCTGCCTCCGTTCATTTGGCCTTGTTATCATAGGGTTGTGTTTTGTCAACTCTGAAATTGTCCTTTCAACACAGTGATAATTCCCAAAAATAGATGCATTTAGTTTGGTCCATCTAATTCTCATTACAACAGTTATGAGGGATATTTTAAGGTTAGTGCTAATGGTCTAAACTATTATTATTGACTGTGTTTCTCTTGCTTGAGACCAAGTCAACAACTGTAGAAGAACAGCACAAAAATCCCTTCCATCTATGCTGATTTCAAAGTGTAAATGGCAAGCTCTAATAATAATAAAAACAAGAGGTTGGAATTAAGCTGCATTGAGTTTCACAAAATTATTTGCTAGGTTTTTATAAGTCTTATGAAAACTGCTGACCCTTGGTGAGCAGAAAGATTTCTGGACAAAGTGCAGTGTCCGTCTTAATTTTAAAAAAAAAAAAGTTCTAGAGGGAACTTGCAGAATGGGAATTGACAGATATTAGTGTAATATAATATGAAGAGAAGAATGATACTTGAATTTTGGCAGAAGAAGGAATGCAGCATAGGGGGAGAGAGACTGAGATAAGAGAGCCAGAAAAGGATTGAAGGGAAAACAAGAGCCAGATGAGTAGTAACAATGTTGAGTGCATCACTGTGGAAATACTGAAAAGCCTTAATCAGTTGTGTTCTCTGATATGGGCAGAAGTAACTTGTAAACATTTCTAAAAGGGAGGAGGAAGGTACACTAGCTGTTAAGCTGCAACTGTTACTGTTGCCTGCTTCTGTATCACTAGAAGTGATCTAAATCCCTGGACACTTAACCCTGAATACAACAGGGCTAAAATAGCAATGGTTTTGCTACAGTACAGGAGCTTAACATTCATCAGACAGTTACCAATCATCTGAATGTGTACATAACCACAGAGGGGCAGTCCTAATGAATGTGGCTTGTTCACCATTCTACTATATTAAAACCAGTAGGGTAAAGGTATGACTTTGAGAGGGGATGGCAAGTCAGATACTTTTCTTGTAGTGTAACACACACATTGCTTGGCAATATACAATTACATTGGTTTAGTCAAAGCTACAGTATTGTACAGGGGTGCATCAGTTTGTAAAGCAGACTTTCTTCCTTGAGCCACGGGGTCAGGGGTGTCAGACATATGGCCTGCAAGCCACATCTGTCCCATGGAGCTGCATGATCCACTCCATAGGTCTTGGACCAACCCCACATGCAGAGCTGGTCTTGCAGCATGGGATCAGTCTGGGACATGAGATGCATGCAGTGCCTACCCCAAGCCAACACTGCACTGGCTCTGGGGCTGGTCTGGGTCTGACTATACCAGAGCCAGCTCACAGGGGTGTCTGTCAGGTTCAATGTGTAGCTCATGCCCCAAACTGACCCCTGTTCCGTGACAAGTGTGTGCAGCACTGGATCACGCTTATGGCATCTTGCTGGCCAGGCTCTAGTGTGCACTGGTTCTGGTGCATATGGATAGCCTGGAGCCCAATTTTGACTGCTCCAGAGCCACTGCAGTCCTCATGTTGGTCCCCTGGACTGCAGGCAGTGCTCACAACACTGAATCCATCCTGCATGTCACCTGCAGCAAAAGCCTCCGAATGGAGCCAATGCATAATGTCTGCAGCCCTGGGGCCTGGCACAGGGAGCACGCTGCCCCTGGGGCCCCACCAGTCCAGCCCTTTGCACTGGTTCTGATGCAGCTGGATCTAACGTACAGACCCTCATTCAGCCCATGGGGCTTGATGAGTTTTACACCCCTGTGCTGGGGGCTAAATACAATTTTTTTTATACAGTGTGTGGTTTCAATATATTTTTAAAGATACAGGACATATTTGTGAACAGCAATGGTGTATATGACAAAACTATATTAAGCGCTTGCTATAGGAGCAACAGTGACAAGATTAGATTCCTGTGTTTCAACCAGTGTATAGTTTGAACAGCTCTCAGCGAGATCATACAGCATTCATTTTTGATTGCTTGTTAGTAGAGTCATAATTAAAGGGGTATGTACTGAAAAATTTTTAAAAAGCCACTTATTTTATTATCCATGTATTTTCAAATCTAGCCTAGAGTTCCTAGTTAGGAAAGGAAGAAATATTAAAATAGGCTTTTAAAAGTATTTTCTGTTTGCCAGTAAATGAATTGTGATCTATAACTTTGTCTCTAGCACCGCTTTACATGTGGCTGGAAGAGGAGAAATGCTTGCACATGATGCAGCAAAGCTGGTAGTATTTAGCAGTGGTGTCCACCAGGATTGGCTCAGTTCATCTACATTGATAAGAACTTTAGTGTCATACTGAATCTGACTGTTGGTCCATCTAGCTTGGTATCCTGTTCCTGACAGTGGCAGTAGTGGATGCTTTAGAGGCAGAGCATCTGAACAAGGTAATATCTAGTGAAGCAGTTCTCAACCAGGGTGTCACCAGATGCTTTGAAGGGTGCCATGAGGTGTGAGGAGGTATGCAGATAAGTGCAGGCTCAGGTTTGTCCCTGCTTGGTTGACTTCCACTGCCCATGCCTGCAATCCAGTTCCTCTGCAAGGAGTGGTAAGCACTGTACTATACATGTACAGCATGTTGGTAGCAAGAGGAGGGTCAAGGAAAGTGTGGGTCCCTTACTGAATTGGGGAGGATTGTGACAGGATGCAGAAATGGCTGAAGTGTATGTGGGACTCACCCTACGAACACACAGTTCCTCCGTACACTCTCTCTCTCTTTCTCTCTCTCTCTCTGTACACCTCCCTTCCACCCCCCGCCCCCCCGGCCGGGTACCAGTGCAGGCCTCATGCTCCCTGGTCCGGCAATGCAGCTGGGAGCCATCTGGTGTTGGAGCAGTGCGAGTAGGGAGCCAGGGAAATTGCTGGGGGTGGGGTGGGGCTGAGCTGCTGTGCTCCTGCTGAGGCTCCCCCTGGGTCCTACTGCCCCTGACTCCTGTCATCTTTGACAAGCAGCCAGGAACCAATAAATATTTTCTAAAGTTTTTAGGGGCCCCACGAACCAGATAGAATGGCCTGGTGGTCCAGATCCAGCCGACGGGCTGTATTTTGCCCACCCCTGGGATGGATGAATGGACTGTAAGGTGAATAGAAAACTGGCTGAAGTATCAGGCTCAGGGACTAGTAGTCAATGGCTCGATGTCTAGTTAGCAGCTGGTATCAAGTGGAGTGCCCCTGGGGTTGGTTTTGTTCAATGTCTTCATCAATGACCTGGAAGATGGCACCCTCAGCAAGTTTGCTCCCTCAGCAGATGACCCCAAGCTGGAGGGAGTAATAGATATGCTGGAGGGTAGGTCTAGGATTCAGTGACCTAGATAAATTGGAGGATTGGACCAAAAGAAATCTCATGAGGTTCAACAAGGACAAGTGGAGGAGTATACCTACTTGGCTCGAGGAGTATACCTACTTGACTCGCACTTGCAGGGAAGCAGTGAGACAGGCCAAAGCAGATACAAAACTCAAGTTGGCACCAAAGATTAAGGAAAACAAGAAGTCCTTCTTTAAGTACATAGGGAGCAGGAAGAAGGTGCAGGGTAACATAGGGCCACTACAGAATGGACTAGGGCAACTTGTAACTGATAGGATGGAAAAAGCGGAGCTCTTAAATGATTTCTTTGCTTCTGTTTTCCTGGACATGGATACAAATGCACCTCCGAATGAGTCTTTAGTCTGGAGTGAGAGTAATACCAATCCACCAATGGTTAGCACTGACCTAGTGAAGGGGCACTTGGAAGGGTTTGGACATATTTAAGTCAGCGGGCCCTGAGGATCTTCACCCAACAGTACTAAAGGAATTGACTGATGACAGCAGAACCACTGGCAGAGCTGTGGCACTTGGGACAGGTCCCAGAGGACTGGAAAAGGGCCAACGTGGTCCCCATCTTCAAGAAGGGGAGGAAGGAGGACCTGGGTAATTATAGGCCAATTAGCATCACCTCTATTCTCAGCAAGGCCTTAGAAAAAATCATAAAGGATCACATTTGGAGGGGGCCAGCAGGTAACACAATGTTAAGGGGCAACCAGCATGGGTTTATAGCAGGCAGATCCTGCCTGACTAACCTGGTCTCTTTTTATGACCAGGTCACAAAGTGCATAGACGCAGGGGAGGAAGTAGATATTATTTACCTGGATTTTAAAAAGGCTTTCGACACAGTGTCACACCCAATTCTTATGAGTAAACTGAGTAGCTGTGATGTGGATTTTTTCACAGTAAGGTGGGTGAGAGTGGTTCTCCCTGGAAGGATGTGGGCAGTGGTGTCCCCCAAGGCTCTGTCCTGGGACCAGTACTGTTTAATATCTTCATCAACAATTTGGATAAGGTGTTGAAAGCACCTTGTCCAAATTCGCAGATGACACTAAACTATGGGGCATAGTAAACACGCTGGAGGGCAGGAAGCGAATTCAGGAAGATTTGGACAGACTGGGGAAGTGGGCAGATCAGAATAGGATGCAGTTCAACAAGGATAAATGCAAGGTGCTGCACCTGGGGAGAAAGAATCTCCAACACACCTATAGACGGGGGTACCATTCTGAGCACCACAACAGTGAAAAGAGATCTCAGAGTCCTGGTTGACGCAAAAATGAACATGAGTCGCCAGTGCGACGAGGTAATAAACAAGGCTAACTGCACTCTTTCTTGCATCAGCAGAAGTATCATGAGCAGGTCTAGGGAAGTGATAATTCCCTTCTATGCAGCATTGGTGAGGCTGCAGATGAAGTACTGCGTCCAGTTTTGGGCGCCGCACTTCAAGAGGGATGTGGATAACTTTGAGAGGGTTCAGAGGGCTACTCATATGGTTGAGGGTCTGCAGGTAAGACCCTATGAAGACAGACTGAGGGATCTGAATCTCTTCAGCCTCCACAAGAGAAGGCTGAGAGGTGATCTTGTGGCTGCCTACAAACTCATTGGGGGGGCCAGCAGGGAATAGGGGACACTCTGTTTACCAGGGCACCCCTCAGGGTTACCAGAAATAATGGCCACAAATGGAAGAACAGATTTAGATTGGACATAAGGAAGACATTCTTTACGGTAAGGGTTGCCAAAATATGGAATGGGCTTCCAAGGGAGGTGGTGTTTTCCTCTACCCTGGAGATGTTAAAAAGGAGATTAGACAGGCATCTGGCTGCAGTTACCTAGCCCCAGTGCTCTTTCCTGCCTGGAGCAGGGGCTTGGACCTGATGATCTACCAGGTCCCTTCCGACTCTAGAAACCTATGAAATCTAAGTGCAAAGTCCAGCATTTGGGATGGAACAGTCCCATGCATCAGTACAGGCTGAGGCCTGACTGGCTGGGCAGCAACTCTGCAGAAAAGGACATGGGGGTTACAGTGGACAATAAGTTAAATATGAGCCAGCAGTGTGCTCTTGTTGCCAAGAAGGCTAACGGCATACTGGGATGCATTGGTAGGTGTGTTGCCAGTAGGTCAAGGGAAGTGATTCTTCCCCTCTGTTCAGGACCAGTGAGGCCACATCTGGAGTACTGTGTTCAGTTTTGGGCCCCTCACTACAGAAAGGATGTGGACAAATTGGAGAGTCCAGTGGAAGGCAACAAAAATGGTGAGGGGGCTGGGGGACATGACTCATGAGAAAAGACTGCAGGAACTGGGCTTATTTAGTCTACAGAATAGGAGACCAAGAAGGGACTTAATAGCAGGCTTCAACTACCTGAAGGGGGTTCAAAAGAGGATGGAGCTAGACTGTTCTCAGTGGTGGTACATGATAGAACAAGGAGCAACGGTCTCAAGTTGCAGCAGGGGAAGTTTAAATTGGATATTAGGAATAACTTTGTCACGAGGAGGGTAGTAAAACACTAGAACAGGTTACCCAGCAAGGTGTTGGAAGCTCTGTTGTTGGAGATTTTCAAAACCCAGCTAGACAAAGCTTTGGCTGGGATGATCTATTTAGGGGATGGTTCTGCTTTGAGCAGGGGGTTGGACTAGTTGACCTCCTGAGGTCCCTCCAAACCCTAACTTTCTATGATTCTATATAAATATTTTTTTGAAATCGGGTGCTGCTCAACTCACAGAAGTTATGGAGCGTACCTCAAAATTGAAAAGGTTGAGAACTACTGACCAGAGTGATCTATCCCCTGTTCATTACACTTTTTGGCATCCACCATCATAGAGATGTCAGAAGACACTTCCTTACTGTTCTGTTTAATAGCTATTACTGGATCTGTCATCTGTCCCTTTTTGAACCTGCCTTTACTATCTTCCTCTACAACTTCCTCTGATAATGAGTTCCAGAAGCTAACTTTGTGTTGCATAAAGAAGAACTTGTGTGTTTTCTTGTTAAACCTGTTTTTAACCCTTTTCTAACCCTTTCTTGCTTATATTATCAGTCACAATAACTAGATTTTCCCTCCATACTTCTCAGGGAAGCAGTTCATCGCAGCTTCAGTCTTGGACTGTCCAGCCATCTTTTGAAGTGATTCCAGCTCAGCCACAGCTAGTGTTTCTTCATCCCCACATTGCTCCTCCTGTTAATCCTCACTTTGTTGGCAAAAAAAGGAATGACTCCACTAATTACCTGCCCATCCTGAATTCCTACACAAAAATAGCACCACATCCCTGCAAAAGGGATCGTGACTTGGAAAGAGACGAGACCAGTAGGCAGAAACGGCTCTGTACAGAAGCACCCAAGAGAGAAACATCTCCCTCTGTACAAAGTAACAGCAGCTTACCCTCTAGTCCCTGTGGCCAGTTATTACTTGGCTTTAAGCCTGCTCAGGACTCTAATCAGCAGAGCACTCCAGCTTCAGTGGCAGGTGGGAAAATGTCAAGTATGCCTAGTTTTCAGTGTGTTTCTACTGATAATCAGAAAGCCCCAGGTTTGACTCCCTTCCAGGCATCAAAATGCACTTCTCATGAGATTGAGAATCCAGCACAGCATCTGATCCAGTCTGCAATATGCAGCCAGCCCTTGGCACCAGAGGAGCGGTGCACGACTCCTGAGCTATTCTTGCAGCAGCAAAGTAAGTGCAGGCGCTTTCAGAATACCTGGGTTGTACTGCGGAGGTCTGGATTGTTGGAAATCACCTTGAAAACCAAGGAGTTGATTCATCAGAACCAGGTGACCCAGATCCAGCTGGACCGGCTGAAGCAGCAAACACAGCTGTTCATGGAGGCAATAAAGAACAATGCTCCTCAGGCCTGGGAAGAGCTACAGGCATCTCTAACTGGGTCTGAGAGAGTTAACAGCAGTCTTGAGTCCACCTATCCCAGCATGTAGTTCACAGCTATTGTTCAAATGATTCCTGTGCCTCCTTATTTCCAGTTTTCTAAGTCTGAGACTGCTTAACAGCTTATAAAGCAACATGTAATTAACTATGTCCACAAGGCCAATTGTGAAACTGGCACAGTGTTGGAGTGGCTTTGAAAAATAGGTCTTGCTGTTTCATGTGATTGGTAACTGTGCTCTTCATTGGACCAGGGAAGCACATATGTGCTAAGATGATGCGTTCCCACTCTTGTGGTAAAAAGAGCCATTTACAGTGTTCTAGTAAGTACCCTTCTTTTCATCACATCTCTGGGCAGCCATTCATAGAACAGAATAGAGCCATCCATGGAGTTTCATGGGAGCTGATGGGGAGAAAAAAGTAGTTTTCATGGGTAATATGGTATCTCCAGAGTGGTGTTGGTACCCTATCAGGTGGTGTGGCCTTTAGGTCATAGCCACATTTAACTAGTGGAGATCTGCTTTCATTGAAGTTGCATTTAATATACAGCTTTGCTTGAACAAGGCAATGAGAGCATCTGCAAAAATAATAAGCAGTTCCAGGCAGGCCCTGTTAGTGTGCTTATTTTGGGTTTGCTTTCTTTAAAACTGAGTTGGGTGAAAGTTAGAAAATAAAATAAAAAAGGGTTTGCATTGAAAGTAATTATTTAAAAACCATGTTTATTCGCACTGCTTGTTAACAACTAACAGTTATACTAAGCAGGTAGCTTTGGATTTTCCACGTGTGTAATGATTTAAACCCTGACCCCTGTTACTTCATTTAAAAAAAAAAAAAAAGTTAATTTGCAGTGACTTTGTTGTATGTAGTATGAAGATGATGTTCCTCACCAGCCAGGAATAATCTGTCAAGACCTCATTTGATTTGTATCTATCCAATTTAGGAGACTAGGGTTTTTTTGAGCTGTGAAATCTTGCTAAGTTTAAAAAGGGCGGGTGGGGGGGAAGGTTGTAGTGGCCCCACAGTACAACAAGCCCTTGTTTCTCTTTTTTAAAAGAACCATCAGGGAGTCTGTAAAAGAGAGAGGCTGCCAGCTTAGTTAACTCTTCCCCAGAATCTGATCGACCTGATCTTGAACACTTTTATTTAAAAATGTTCATGATAGGAGCAGCGCCATTATTAATCCTCTTGAAGTGCATGCATACACTCCGGTGTCAGCTGAGGCAATAGACTGTGTCAAAGGTACACAAAAATCTTCTTGCAAAAGCTGTTCTGTGGATGTGTTTATTTTTTAATTTGAAAAGTTGTTCAGCTTCACACTGAACCATTTTATTATGGGATGCATAAAATAGATATGATATATCCCTATCAGGAATAAAGTGAATATTCTGGTGGTGTTTTACAATTGTGAGATCAGAGTTCAGTGCCATTTGGTTTGGAAATACTTTTGAAGAAACTTGAAATCCAGGTGATCACTTCTCTTTGCATCTCCTTTATTTATTTCAGTTTCTTCGTAACATCTGATGAAGTGGGCTGTTGCCTACAAGATCTCATGCATCTCTGAACCAGTTAGTCTCTGAGGTACTACCTTGCTCTATCTTCTACCTTTCCTTAAAAAGGAAGATAAACACTTTTTCAGTCCAAAATAAAGGGCTGGCCTCACACTAACTTCAGTATCTTTAGGTGTTCATTGTTCTGATTGTCTCCGAAATGAGTACTGCACTGGGCACTGAAGGGTGTTTCTGTAGCCTTCAAACAACAAAAGATTTAGAGGAACTTTGGAAGCAGGGGAGGTTTTCTCCTTTTTAGCACATTTCTTACTTAATAGGAATTGCACATGTGCCTCAAGGGGAGAGGAAACCCAAGCCAAGCATGGACTGGTCTTTTGACCTAGAGAGATTTCCTAGCAGGCTCAGGAAGCCTTAGGGCCCTCTCAGGATCCAGCTGAGTAATAGCAGATTAAGTGCAGCTTGTTTGGTGGTACCCTACCCACAAGCTTAAGCAGAAGATGGAATTTAAGGTCATGCACAGGCCACCTTCTACCTTTGTCTGAATATAGTTTGCTCCTGTTACAAATGATGGTGTGTGATTTGAGGCAGCAGGTTTGAATAAGAGGGTGTAGAGGACAGGATAGATATACACATGCCAGACTAAACATTGAGGGTATATTTCTGCTGCATAATACTGGCACTCAAGTTAGCTTGGTTACAAGGAGCAGTCTTGCTACGATACTGTATAGCTCTGTGCACCTAATTTACCCTGATGAGAAATTGTGTAGCTTCCAATCTCCTTATCCAAAGCAGGGGGAAAAGGCTATTTCTATTGCTTTGAGTGATGCAGATGTATTTGGCTTGAGGGAAATAGCTATGCGAGCCACCTCTAATTAGTCCCTTTCTTTCTCTGGAATCTTTGCCTTCCCCATCTGATGGCATAGAGAGTCCCTAAGCTCAGACTCTATTTTTTAAGCAACAGCTGTTCTAAAAAGTGACATGAGGGGTCTAGAATGAATTACTGACACTCTAGAGATGGAAGGAAGGAAGTTCAGTCCTGGTTGTCTGAATGTGGGAGAAATGTGAGCTGGTGGCTGGCACTACTTGCAACTCTCTAGAACAGAAAATGTTTGCTGCTTCCCCAACAGTGTGTTTTCAAGGTGAGAGAAGTAAAACTGTCATAGTCCACTCTACGGTGTGCACACTCTTCCCTGACAGTATAGGTGCTGGGTGAGTGAGTACTCCAAGTTTGTGGACTCTTCTATTGGTGGTGGTTTAATTTATATAAATATATTTTGTTTTTTTAATAAAACTGTGAATAAATAAGAGCAGCTGCTTGGAAATCTTACTGGGTATCAGTCCAAACTTCTTAAACAATATTTGCTACATTACAAAGATCTACTTTAGAGCTGTTATGTAGGCTTGGAGTTCCTTTGGAGCCACATGCCCAGATAAAGATTTTCACTTATGTAAAATTATTATGCAACATATTGGAGGTCTCTAATGCAAATACAATAAGTATGATAAAATACAGTCAAATCTCAATAAAATACGAAGTGTCAATGAAACCTGGTCTTCTTGCTTTTCTCTTAGCTGCCTTTCTTCCTGGTTGTCTTGCTCAAGCTTTATACAGCCAGGGCTTTTTCAGCGTAGCTGTAGCTTAATAAAATAGTTGGGCATGGAGCTGTGGTGAGAGAACTTGCTGCTCTTAATAGATTATTTTTAGAGCAGTGATCCATTCCACTCCTAATCTGGAAAATGGCTGGGCAGGATTGATCAGAAATATCAACCTCTTAAATTAAACAGTTCTGTAGTTGTTGGATTTTAAATTGAACTGTTGATTTCTGGATTTTAATTTGAACTGTTGATCCAGCTGCAGCTTTGTTCTAACAAATTAGAATTCAAGAAAGAACTTCTGGACCCTAAGATTATCTAAGCAGCTTTCTGGGGTTCCTATTATGGGTGCTGACAACTAGTAGATGTCACACAAAGAAAAGGCAGATTGATGGGTCAAGCAGACTTTGGCTTTCATGTAAAGTTTTAATAATTCTTGATCGTTTTGAACCTGTAATTGCTTTTATTGAGAGGGTTTTTTTAACTTTAACTGCAATTGGAATGTAAACATTTTCTGTACCTTTAAGTGCATTGCCAGCTCTGAATACAGTATGTAAAAACTTAGTTACAAAATGTGACTTTTTTTGTAAAACTTTGCAGAAATGGACTGTGAAATATGAACAAAATAAAGTATATGCTTGAAAACCTATGAGTCACTCTAATACTCTTTAAACTACAAAGTCCTTCATCCCAAAGCGCACTCTACAAACAGCTTTACAGTGACATGCAGCTGCTTTGGAGGAAGCATACTAACAAGAGGCTTCTAATAGAACACGTCTACAAAAAGTACCCAGGATCTTTAGCGTTGGCTCATTACCTGTCTTTTTGTGCCCCAAAAAGGGACTAGCAGAAGAGAAGGTAAAACTAGACTGTTTGAAACACTCAAAATATAGTGTAGTGAATAGTCCTGCACTGGCATAAATATGAGCCAGATGATCTAATAAATCTTTTCCATCATAATTCTGTGAGAACTACAACCAGAATGCAGTCTGTGTAGGGTATGTGCCCATGCAGTCTCCTAATCTGTCAGTTAGATATGCAAGAGTTTAAATTGCAAGTTTGGAATTTAGATTGTTCTCTCAAAGAGAAAGCAATAACTTTCAGGAGTGAGGAATTTCTCTCTCCCTCCAAGGAGGGAATGTTCTTGGGGTAATTCAGGTTAGTGTTACTGGAAAATTCCCAACCAGTTTTGATGATACTTTTTTTTTTCCAAGTCCAGGATGGCATTTCTGGTCAAAACTGGATGGATCAGCCCCAAAATAGCTAATAGCCTGGTGGTGTGGGAGGCCCAGGTGAAGGTCCCTAGTTTGAATTGAAGCAACAGGGACTCAAACCTGGATGTCCTGCAACCCAAGTGAGTACCCTAATCAACTAGCTGTTCTGGGGTGAGGGGCTCAGGTTTTTGTTTGTTTTTTGTTTGTTTGTTTTGCAGCAAACAAAAGACATTCAAAACCAACATTTTTTTATTAAACAGAATTCTTGTCTTATGAACCAAGCATTGAGGTGATCAGAACATCTATTTAAGTAGTGTCAAGCACAAGGGGCTAAATCAGTATTTTAACACAGAACAACTATTCCCTCATTTTGGCACTTGGGCAGTAAAACAGAAACTGGAAATGCCTACTCCCACACTAAGGTTTATCCTGGCATGTCAGAGTTACTGGCATTCATTGAGTCAAGAGCTCTTGCCCTTTTCCATAGCTGCTGATGCCAAAACAGAGAAACAGGTGTGTGCATTGCCAAGCACTTTAGTTGATACATGGTTCTTTGGGGTATTCCCAGGTGATTAAAAATGCATTTTTCAAATTGAGTTAACAGAATTCAAGAATATAACATATTATTACCCCATGCTGCTCATCCATGTATGCACCAAAGATACTGCCAGGGGTGACCCTGAGCAGATCAAGATTGACCACAGGGCTCTGGGTGCAAGGGTGAAGGGGTTGGGGGCACAGGTGGTGTTCTCCTGGATCAGTTAAGGGGAAGGGCCCTGGCAGGAGTGGATGCATCCTGCAGATGAATGCATGGCTGGGCAGGTGGTGTCACCTGACAAAGAGAGGGAAGCACATCTTTGCAGACAGGCTCATTAATGTAATGAGGAAGGCTTTAAACTAGGTTTCCAAGGGGATAGAGAACAAAGCCCTGAGGTAAATGGAGAAGCAGGAGATCTGGAAGAAGCACAAGGAGGAGGGGAGAACAGGGGAGGCCTCATTCTTCCTGAGGAAGTAGGGCAATCAGCTAGTTACCTCAGGTGTCTGTACATGAATGCATGGAGCCTGGGAAATGAGCTGGAAGACCTGGAAGTCCTTGCACGGTCAAGGAACTATAACATTATTGGAATAACAGACTTGGTGGGGTAGCTCATATGATTGGAGCACTGTCATGGATAGGTGCAAACTATTTAGGAAGGAGAGGCAGGGGAGAAGAGGAGGAGGGGTTGCACTGTATGTAAAAGCTGTATGATTGCTCAGAGCTCCAGTACAAAACTGGAGATAGGTCTGTTGAAAGTGTCTGGGTTAAGGTTAGGGGGGAGACCAACAAGGGTAATATCTGTTGGCACTGGATTTAGGATCCAGATGCCTTGTTCCAGGCAGACCACGACCTTTCCATTTGATAATAGGCATATTTATTGATACACAGTGATAACAGAAAAGAATAATACAAGCAATTCTATAGCTACCAATCCTAGGGCTGTCATCAGAGTTGAAATACCTCTGGCCAGGAGGTGAGCTTCACTCTGAGGTTCTCTGAGTGGGGCCCCTACAAGATGCGCTGGGCAATCTGGTGGTTGCGCCAGAGGAGAAGGCAGACCTCTTTAACAAATTCTTCACCTCCGTTTTCTTGTGCAGGGACTGGGACTCCCCCACCATGTTTCAAGACGGACTTGAGGGGAACGCCTCGAGACCTAAGGTTGAGCAGGACCAGGTTAGAGTGCTTCTGGAGGGGCTGGACGTGTTCAAGTCAGCAGGTCCAGATGCTCTCCACCCCAGGGTGTTGTGGGAGCTAGCAGGGGTTATTGCTGGGCCCTTCGCACAGCTTTTCGAGCACTCATGGTGCTTGGGCCAGGTGCCAGATGATTGGAAGATAGCCAATGTGGTCCCCATCTTTAAGAAAGGAAGGAGGGAGGACCCGGGCAGTCTTACCTCAATCCTGGGGAAACTCTTTGAGAAGATCATCAAGGAGCACATCTGTGATGGGCCGGCATCGGGGAGGATGCTCAAGGGCAAACAGCACAGTTTCATTAGGGGCAGGTCATGTCAGACCAACCTGATTGCCTTTTATGATCAGGTTACAAAAGCATTGGATGCAGGTGTCACCGTGGATGTAGTCTTTCTGGACTTCAGCAAGGCCTTTGACACTGTCTCCCACCCCATCCTGATTAAAAAACTAGGCGACTGTGGCATTGATGCCTACACAGTCAGATGGACTGCTAATTGGCTGAAGGGTCATACTCAGAGTGGGGTGGTGGACGGGTTGTATTCGACCTGGGGGGAAGTGGGCAGCGGAGTCCCCCAGGGCTCGGTCCTTGGGCCCGCACTGTTCAATTTCTTTATCAGCGATTTGGACGATGGGGTGAAAAGCAACCTGTTCAAATTTGCTGATGATACCAAAATTTGGGGTGAGGTGGGCACGCTAGTAGGGAGGGAAAGA